CCCCAAAACCCCAAAACCCCAAAACCCCAAATATCTGGATGGAGATTGACCTGGTATAATTTTAGCCTAGAGACTCATCCTCATTGACTTTCGATGGTTGCCACCATAGTTCATCTTGAATAGGTCATCTTGGTCCCGAAGAAAAGTGGAGATTTTGAGCAGATCCTCCAGTGTGTTCCCAGATTTCTTCTTGAGTAATGTCTTATTGAGCTATATTCATTAAGATTGTTAATAATAAATTTCATGAATAGTTTCTTACAGATCTGTTGTTTAGCTTCATATTCTTGATCTCTTCCATAGCGATGAGAGCTTCCATTTTGGAGAGTTTCATGAAGAACTCTTTGGGTTTGGTTTTCTACAGAGATTCTAACAAGATGGATACTTTAGAGATATTTTCAGTTGCTAAATCTTCGTTGATACTTTTGTTATAAGATTTTCGGAGAACAGATGTATTTATCTTCCTGATCCTGGAACTGTTAGTGATGTTTCAAATACTTGCAAGAGTTATTTAAGGCTCTTCTTGACTTTCCTCTTGAAGGGTTTGTTATACCTATCGTTGATACTCTGGTCTGGAGAGGTAATAAGCAGGACCTACTAATGTATATTGACCTATTTTGGCCTATTTTCATAGAGTTAAACACGATTTCTCTCTTCCTTTGCTTTGTCTTTGGCTTTCTATTCAGCAAAGTCTGTATTAATAAATTTAGAGAGTTTACCTTGTTTCCATTAACTAAGAGACTACTGAAAGGGTTTGTAGCGAGAAGGTTGTTGTCTTCACATCTATCAATGCTTTGGGTGACCCTAAAACTAAATTTTGATGAATATACTTATTTTCCTTCTTTCTCTGAGCTTCTACACTTCCGTTCTTCATAAGGCCTAGGATAATCGAAAGAGCTTACTTCTCTTGTTGCGACTAATAAAGAGCTTTCCTTTGTGGTCGGTCTATGAAGGAATTAACCTTTTTGATATTACTTGTACCTTCTTTGGGTTTTTGAAATCGAGGGAAATACCTTGAACTGAGAACATGGAGTTTCTCTTGCTCGTTACTGGCCGTAGATTGATTTTTGTAAGCATCTGGAACAGGCGGGGTTTGACTATAATTGGTATCTCAATGCTCAAGATCTTTAGAAAAATTCAAGTGGTTTACTTTTAGTTAGTCTGATCATTGTTCTTCATCAATACAGGTCTCCTATTTTCAGAGTAAAGAGCAACTCTTTTTGTGCGAGTTTTTTTGCTGTGTATAGCAGTATGAACTTCTTTACGCTTCTAGGGGATAATTAATTTCTAACTCACTTTTTGGGCAGATTTACTGACTTCTACGGAGAAATGAATATTCGTCAAGGACATCTTCAATATTTTATAATCTTTAAGGGGTTTTGGGGTTTTGGGGTTTTGGGGTTTTGGGGTTTTGGGG